TCTGCATGGCCTATTGCAAACACGATTGATAATGTTTAAATTCATAATGGGACCGTTAGGTATCCCCTTATGGCTTACTGAATTCTTTCTCTTCTGGGTGACCAGATCATGCGCTTTCCCCGTCATACTAATAGCAACTTTTTTTAAAGGATTTGACCGATCCATGGTCAATACTTTTGGAGTATACGTTTGACGAGCATCGACTTTCCATTGTTGCACATCGAATGTGCTGTGTGTTTTTTTGTTGTTTTTTTAAAATTGTGCTTGTGCGGCTTGAGCGTTTAAAAAACCGTTGATGAACGTGTTGGTGCCATCAGCCCTGTGACGCATCCGTGACGTCATTTTCATGGAACTGGGACTAGAGCCTAGGCTGTCTTTTGTCTTTGATTTGTTTAGTTTGGCAGTTGTCTGAGCTGAGAGTAAAAAAAAAAAAAAATGGTGATTTGTATTCCGCTTGCCAGTCGCACTGTAATGTGTGTTTGATGTATCGTATCAGGACCAGACGATGAATCACTTTGGTCAAAGTCTACGTTGTTTTTTGAAATCGGACTTGTGTTCAGTTTTACTGAGACAACGCAGGAAAGTGTAAACAAATATGACGAAAGAAACTCAATCCTACGGACGCGTCACCATTTTTTCCCAGCTGGTATTTGCTTAGTAAGCTCCTATAGCTCTTCATTTTTTGGTGTATTGGCCCGTCACATACTGTCACCTTTTTAAAGCCACGGATTGAGCGTGTCAGTATTTTAGATCATGTTCATTGGAAGGATCATTCAGGTCACCGCGCCACGCGGTAAGACAGGTCTGTTGCTTTCTTTAGTGTGTGCCATCCCTTATAAAGATACTGTCGTTTTTTTGTTTTTGCACCAAGCTTCATAGACCAAAGTTTGGGAATTAAAAAAAAAAAACAACCTATGGCCAAACACGAATACATATTTTTTTTTTTTTTAAATGGTTTTCCGAGTTTTAAGTTTAGATGATAATTAAGTCAAAAAACGAAATTTACTGATCATTTCTCGAAAAAGTTGAAATGGTTTTCAAGATGAGTTCTAAGTTACAAGCGAGAAAAGCGCGTCAATAAAAAAAAACCGCTGCAAGTTAACATGTAATAAATTCTACTGAACATAGAAAGAAATTTCGCGTTTTCAACACCCAATTGATAATGCTTTCGGGCATAACTATCTGCCCCCAGTGTTTCCATTCTCATTTTCAGCTTGTAGAATGTTTTGTTCGTTAAGCTATGTTATTTTATGAATTATAGAGTATAGCCTCTTTGGATTTTATGGGAGTTTTCAAATCATTATTTGCGAATTAAGGACAGTGATGTAAATCTCATACTTCCTATGATGTGAAAGGACAGTGATGTAAATCTCATACTTCCTATGATGTGAAAGGACAGTGATGTAAATCTCATACTTCCTATGATGTGAAAGGACAGTGATGTAAATCTCATACTTCCTATGATGTGAAAGGACAGTGATGTAAATCTCATACTTCCTATGATGTGAAAGGACAGTGATGTAAATCTCATACTTCCTATGATGTGAAAGAACAGTGATGTAAATCTCATACTTCCTATGATGTGAAAGGAAAGTGATGTAAATCTCATACTTCCTATGATGTGAAAGGACAGTGATGTAAATCTCATACTTCCTATGATGTGAAACGGCTGACTTTGTTTAAAAAAAAATTTAAAAAAATTAGATCGCTAAAGCTATGGTCATTTTTTTCAATGAGTTGGTAACTGGTCTTGCTTGGTCTTGTCATCATTCATAAATCTTAGGCCTGTTCCTCCCCCGTCTTGCAAATAATTCTTACAATGAAAAGTTTTAATATTGGTAAACAATTGTGATTGCGTGAAAAGTGGATCCAGACTCTTTATTCCAGAGTGAAATATATTAGAGATTGAAATGTCATCCTATCTGATCAACAGTGTTAACTAAGTTTCGAAGATTTAAGAAATAGATTTATTTTGACTTTCTCTTGATGACATCATTCGTTGGAGTGGTTGTTTTCCGGAACAGTGCACGCTTTGACTTTGTGCACGCTTTGACTTTGTGCACGCTTTGACTTTGTGCACGCTTTGACTTTGTGCACGCTTTGACTTTGTGCACGCTTTGACTTTGTGCACGCTTTGACTTTGTGCACGCTT